AAACGTCAGCCTTCCTGCTCCTCTGATGCTGCTTGGCCTGCTGTGTTCATCCAGCTCTACACCTTGTTGTCTCAGATTCTCCAGCATTTGCAGTTCCTACTATCTCTGAAACATTCTCTCTGGGCTGCATGGCAGCAAGTTGCTGGGAAGCACCTTGCCTGTCAATAGTCATGGCACTGATGGCAGCAGCTTCCAGAACTAGATGTCAAGCATGGACCTCATTAGGTCTATGCACAAGGAAGAAAAAAATTAGACGGAATGTCACTATTCCCTTGGAAATAAAAGGCAAGGGCCAATATTCCATTTGCCTCCCCTATTACCTGCTGACCGTAGAATACCCAGCTTTGTAATTTAAGCACGAGAATCTTCAAGTCAGTCAATCTGTGCTGCAGCTATCTGTAATTAAATAGCATTGGGCAGGAAGAAATTGAGCCGTAACTCTACTTCATTTCTCCACATTAGGTCTTACTGGTTCAGTTTTTGTTCATTCTCTTGACTGGTCTATATCCCATTTCAGACTCATCCTCACCACTTGCCTTCCCGTTTTTGGGAAGTCTACAAACTTGGGAATAGGACATTTCCTTGCCTGGAGGTGTTTTTGTTTTTGCAAGTAATTGTAGATTCAGCACGGATCCTGTGGTACTCCGAGTTACAGGCGGACTTTCTCAAAATGCCCCCTTTATCCCAATGGTCTTCCACTGGAAGACATACTAAAACTACTACAAACAGTTCTGGAGAGCTATTGGCCTTTAGCCATGTTAGTTTTCCCTTGTATTTTTCCTCCAATACTGATACTGTGCTTTTCTACTTTTTGCCCCTTTTAGTATATTTGGATGTTATTAATTATTTACTCAAACCTCTCATTTCCTGGTTTTCTATTATTTCCAGTCTATTCTTTAAATGGCCTGCCTAATTTGGTCTTTTTTCCTTCAAAAACACTTGTCAGTTTATTATATCACTTGCTCACATACACTAATTTTCTCCCTCTATTTGGTCTCATTAGCTTTTTAAAAAGACTCCCGATTCTCTCATTTACAACTAACCTTTTTCCCTAATTTGATGCATTATGGCAAAGAACAATCTTTAACTGCTTTGGTTTATCCCCTTTGTAAAATCCTTCCTCATTGGGATACGCCTTTGAGGAGCCATGAAATGTTTTCAACATCTGCCATTGTTCAACCAATGGTTTCTGCTAAGCTCCTTTACCAATCCACTCCAGCCTTCACTGCCATATTGTTCCCTATTTACATTTAAGCAGAGTTGTTTCAAATCCACATTTCACTCAATTTGAATGCTTACTTCTAACATAGTACTGACCTTTTCCTATGGGATCTTTTACTGACATTACTAATTAAAAAACTTGTTTTATTATGCATGACTACATGCATAACTGCAGATCCCTCATTGGATCCTCAATATATTCATTCAGGAAACTCTCCTGATGACACATTTGAGTTGTTTCTCACACTCTCTCCCAAAGTGATGTTCCCAATCCACATGTTTAAAGTTACCATGTTAATTTATTCTCGCTTACAGTCATAGCTACTGTTAGGAGGCACATTGCCTGCTCCTACCAGTATTTTCTTCCCCTCGTTACCTTTTATCTCCACCCATACAGATTCTCCATGCTCCAGTCCAAGACTTCCTGCTATTGGAAGTATTCCATTAAGCAAAGCAACCCCACCTTCATTTCCTTCCTGCCTATCTTTCCATAGGACAGGTGTAGGCCATCCTGCCCCACCATTCAATATAAACATGACTGAGTGAACACTTCAATACCTTTAATCCACTCAACTATTGCCAGTTACCTACAGGGTTATCAAATCTCTAACTTGGAGAATTAAAGTCAGTGTATGTCTTAATGGCAGAGGGCTGTGGAAGCTCAAAAAAAAAGTTCATAAGCTTCAGTACAATAAAAGGCATTAAAATTTTAGACCCAAGAGGTATTCTTCTTCATTTTCCAAATATAGTGTTCCCCCGGTTCCAAATTCGCCAGCTAGGGGAAGCAACTTAAACGGCATGAAGTAGAAAGGATGCAGAGAAGATTTAATCAGGATGTTGCCTGGGCTAGAAAATTTTGGCTGTGGAGACATGGATAGAGGGTACTTTTCACTCCCTCGAGCAGCGGAGGCCAAGGGGGAATATGATTGATGTATAAAATTTGAGGATGCACTGAAACTTTGCCCTTGGTCATTGATCTCTCCACCAAGTGGGGAGAAGGCTTAGAGGGAATATAGTACATATACAGAACAGCTGGCATCCAAAATATTGATCTTTGCTCTAGTAGAGACAGACATGGATCAAGAGACTGACCCACCTATCCCTGTTGCTTTCTGATGGCTAGCCAATCATTAATCCATCCTAGGATGTCAGCTTTTTCCCCAAATGCTTTAAATTTCTTTCTAACCAGCCTCATCAAAGGAGGTGGGGGGGCAGGTGTGAACTTACATCAAGTGCTTTCTGAAGACCAAAACACACTACCTCCATTGGGAAAAAAAAAAAAAAAAGGGGCTTGTGACAGTGCTTACATCCCCACCTTTGACCCAGGAGGCTCAGGCTCAAGACCAGCCTGCTGCAGAGGTGTCACACATCTCAGAACAGGATTAGAAAATATCTGTGATGACCATCCGCTCCCCTTTATGAACTTTGTTAGTAACAGCTTCAAAAATAAAGTAGTGAAGTTCAAATATGATTTACCATGTGTAAAATGGGAAAAGGTGAAGGTACTGGCTCCATCATATAATCAGCAGATTATTAATCCAGAGAAGAACAAACCCAAAGAACTGCAGATGCTGCAAAAAAATAGACAGCCTAAAAAACAAATTGCAGGACAATCTCAGCAGGTCTGGCAGCATCTGTGGAGGGGAAGCAGAGTTAACATTTTGGGTCCAGTGACCCTTCAGAAGAAATGCTGCCAGGCTGAGTTTCTAACATTTTGTAATCCTCCAAATGTCAATTTTGCACATGTTGTACAGTAGATTCTGGCATTTTCCCCACTATTCCCTCACTCCCTCCTTAAATAGACAGTGGGGTAATACTTGCTACCTTCGAATCTGCAGGAATAATTCCAGGTTCTATAGAATTTGGGAAGATAATCACTCCCCATTCTTTCGAGCCTCTTGGATCTCCAATTCATGGCTGCAGAATGGGAATTCAGGATTGGATATCAGTAAAGTGACTTTATTTTGAAAGGATCCAAGACTTGTCCCAATGACCAATTAAGTTCCCTGTTTTACATCACATGCAGAGAGAGAAATACATTTTAATCCTATGTTTTGTCCAGTGCAGAGTTCAGCTTTTATACAATAAACAGTTTAGCTGTTTATAGCAAGTTCAAGTTGTTTATCATTACATAGCAAAAAAGAAAAAGCCTACCCATTTGTTCCTACAGCAGGATCCCACTTCAAAAATTAGTTGTTCCACATAAAAAGGTACAATAAATGCAAACATGGCAAAAGAAACAAAAATCTAGTGGCATAACATTTTATCAGCAAGTGATTTTGTTTAATTAGCTTGATTACATTTTCATTTATTCTTCACTGTACAAGTAACATGTTTCCAAACGTAGAAATTTAAAGCTGGAAAATAATCTGCAAAATAAAGCTGCAAATACATAAATCTGGATTGGTGGAATAGCTCTTGGCAGGAGGCAGAGGCTGGCAAAGCAGTATGCCTTCAAGGGCATAGAAACAAACTATGGCATCACAGTCATATTAGGTTAAAATGGGTGGGTAGCAGCTTCCCTGCCAATTTTTTTTTTTTTTTTTTTTTTTAAGCGCTCATTTATTGAATTCAATTTTACAGTTCGTTCCTAGTGGGATTTACATTTGGGACAGCAAAATTCCTAGCCCAGAGTATTAAATTCCCCAAGTAAAGTGAAATTTGATTTCAGCTTTCATTTGTGCTTTTGTAATACACAAGCCAACAAGATTATAAAAGCAATGAGAGTCATTCAGGCCATTCTGGACAGAAAGGAGAGAATCTACAACCTCTTACCTCTTGTAAATCAGTCTATACCCAGCTCCTCCTGCAGAGACAATTACAGGGACAGTAACAGAGCATCAGCATAGACTACTGTTGCACGATGCAAAGACAGCCTTGAAAAAGATATGAATAGAAATCAGAATCTTGCAGGTTTTTTTATGTCATGCATCAGTTTGGATGCTGGTTTGAAAATAAGGAAGCTTCTACAATTTGAAACTTGGATAATGGTAATTGGTGGTAGAAAGCATCTGAAATGATGCAAATAGATCTGGCTGTGATATTGATCAGAGGGTCTACATTATGAAGGGACTATTTATGTCAACCTAGTATAATGGAGACTGATATATCATGACCCACTTGGAATTGTCCACCAAATCCCAAACCTTGTTCAACACAGACAGCAGGTCAGAACAAAAAAAAGCTGAACAATAATATGTCCTATATTTCTTCAAACAAAAACAAACAAACTTTTCTTCTAGTTTACAATAATTAAAAAACACAATAAACCAGAAGGTGTGCAAAGGTATGGGAAAACAAACAAACATGGAACGACAGGAGAGATCACTGGAAGCTGAGTCCTGAAGCCTTCCTCATACTCCAATCGGGGAAGTGGATATTTTTTCATAAAAAGTGAAGCAGGTAATTTGCAAGCCAGAGCTTAGCTGCTTTTGTAAAGCTGTGGTGTAAGCATTTAAGTGACAGCAATTTAAAAAGAGAAAAAAGTGTGCTGCTTTATTTGAAGTACCTCCATGTGGGCATCGACTGCGCGAGCTGTACCCTTCCTCTTGTTCTGCTCAAAGAAAATAAGAATGGTTGAGGAAACAAAGGTTGAAAGATGTGACAACAGGTTTGTTACAAAAAAAATGCTGGAGAAACTGGAGGTCTAGGAAAGAATGATTTGAATATTGCAGTAAACTCCTTTTAGCTCAGACTCTGAAAAAAGTTAATGAATGCAAAATGGTCATCAAAAACCATTGTACTGTACTACTACTTTCCAGCCTTTAGTCAAAAAGTGAATTTGCCAAATGTTGGTGACATTACTACGTACTCACCAACTTATTTGGAGTTAGGTGCAGATTAACCATTACCTCATTTCAGTGGCAGAACAGAACCAGGGGACTAAATTATTATTTTGGTTCCTACATAGCCTGGAACGGCAGTGGTCTGTCTTCTGCCTATTTCCATAGTCTTACAATCATCACAAAAAACCTCCTTATCTGTCCAATTTGAGACCATGCTGATTTAAGTTACAGAAATTGAAATTTCATGAAATACTAATTCAGGTGTTGAATGAATCCATCCAATATCTTGAGCTTTGAGACATGAACTGTCCCATTTAGGCCAGATATCTCAACATATCTGTAAACACAAAGTTGTTTAAAAAAAGGATGGTATGACAAAGATTAAGAATACGTAACTGATGAAAACAATGCAAGATTTCATAATTCTAATGGCTATTTTCTTCTTTCATTAGAAACTAGTTAAGTAAAAGCTTTCTCCACTAATTCATTCAATCCTTGCTGTTCTCATCTTTCAGTCACACATTGCACCATATACTAGCTCATTCTGTTCAATGAAGTCATCCGGCCTTGACCATGAAGCCTTTTTTTGTTTAAAGCCGCTTCTGCTCCAATCCCAGAGATCTCTCAATAGAACTGGGATATTCAAAAAAGACACAGGCAGCTATTACCTAGTATAATGAGGGAGAGAACGGGAGAGTGCTGCTTCCTTCTCCTCTGGGCATTTCCTGCTCCTTTGTCTGACTCAAACCTGGCAATTCCTCAAACTTCAAGTTCAATTAGGCCTACAAAAGCTGTCCTCTATACTACATCACGACAGCAAATCAAAAAGTCTGGCAAAAGCAAACGGAGAGGCTCTAAGGCATTTTTTTTGTTGTATTTTAAACTGGTTATTGGTCCCGGCTACAGGTGGAACAGGTGATCCACTTCTAAAGTGTCTGCCAATGTCATCAAGATCTGCTAAAACAGATGCAATACAGGAAGATAAAGATGCAGAATGGATACGTAATTGAGAAATCTATGTGCAAGGTCGTACGCTTTGTTAAGAATCATACTTGGACTTAATGTGCAAACATTAAAGCAAACAAGGAGGACAAAAAAGAAGAAACTTGGAGCCTACACAGACAAAAGTCAGTGATACAGATCTATCTTCCAGTTAGTTTCAACCAGAAGTTGGAGGAACTCAGCAGGTCTGGCAGCATTTGCTGAGAGAATGGAGAATAGAGGAGGGGCAATGGCCTAGTAGTATTAATAGTGGACTGTTAGCCCAGAGATCCAGGTATGTTCTGGAACCTGGGTTACAATCCCATCACAGCAGATGGTGGAATGTGAATTCAATAAATATGTGGAATTAAGAGTCTAACGGTGACCATGAATCCATTGTTGATTTTCCAGGCAAAAAGACTCATCTGGTTCACCGATGTCCTTTAGGGAAGGAAACTGCCATCCTTACCTGGTCTAGCCTACATGCGACTCCAGACCCACAACAAATGTGGTGGACTCCGAACTGCCCTCTGGGCAATAAATGCTGACCTGTCCAACAGCACCTTGTCCCATGAATGAATTTTAAAATAAGTCCAGTGTGCCTTCTCAGAGTTCAGAATGCAGAAGTTTCCATTTGTTTGTTTCAGATCTCCGGCACCAACACGCATCTTTTAATCTAGTTTGTTTCAGTCACCTTTACTTTTGTCGGAATCTATTGGAGGGACAAGTTCTAACATTTCTCCACTTCCCTTCAATAATTTGATGCAAAACGGAAGAGTGGGAAGGATTAGGGATATTCAAAAAAAGGACAATGACATTGGAAAAGTATGTAGACAGAAGGGAGAAGACGCAGAGACAGTAAAGAATGGGAATTAAGAAAAGTTAGAAGTGCAATGGGGAAACTACACTAGAAAAGGTAACTCCCACTGGCTTTCAAACAGTTATCAACTTGCCTCCATCTCCTGCTCTTTTCCTGAAACCTGTTAAATATTTGCAAATCACAATTTTATCTAAGTCTCAATAGCCTAAAGAGAACACCAAAGGTATCTGTGTGAATGAATTAATACGGCACAATAGGGAAGAATTTCTCCCACAGCCTGCATGATCTATGCACAATATCAAGCATATTGCAGAACTGTTTTAGGAAACGCCCGAATGTCAAAAATATGAATCCACAGTGTAACTTTCAAGATGAGCACAACCTTGACAACAGTTCCGTATCAGGTTTCCACTTTAAGTCCCTGCAGTAATAACAGTTGCCAAATTATGAAGATCTCACATTAAAGTGCCAAATCCAAATATCCTTGACACCAAGCACAATTCAAAGTATTAACTAATTCGCAACTGCACTGTGTTTAAACTGGAGCTCTACTGTAAATAAGTTCCAATCGTAAGTGCAACCCTAAAATCGGTAATCAAACCATGCTAGTCAGCAATTTTTACATATTGATTAGCCCATCAGATTCCTCATTGAGATCTGAAAGAGGGACCTATTGGTTAAAAGGCTGGTCAGTTACCCCCTCCAGAAAGGGAGTGAGCTGGATTTGCAATATAGGAACTGCTCAAAAAAAAAAAAAAATTATGTTCCTCAAATCCGTGCTTCCTTTTGTATGTGAGACCAGCAGGCAAAAGTAAGAAGAGCCAGAAGACTGGAACAGGAGACAATTTACTTTCTGTACGCTGGCCGACATCAACTTGACAACAGTATGAAGAGGGATTTCTACCTGCTACCTGCTGGAGTGCCTTCAATGCTGTTTTTGGGTTTCAACCATTCAGCCCAGGCAATAAGCATCTCAACATTAGAGACAGAAGTAGGTATCCAGTTAAATACTATTAGTGGTGGCTGCAGTCTGTTAATCTGTACCTGTTAAGGCTAGACGTAGCCCATGGTCATAGAAACCAAGTCACAATTAGTAGTCTCCTTACAGCTGACAAAACATGGCATTGATCAAAGATCACGATGACTTTTACAAGGCCATCACTTTTAAGTCATCTGGAATTTAAAGAAGTTACCCATTTCCCTCCAAAGAATGAGGTATAGATTCTTCGTTATGTAAATGAAAGTAAGTTTGCAGGTATGTATGACAGATCAAATGGCAGTTTGTTAGAAACCATGAACTGAGGGCAGATTGGTTTTAAAAATTACTTGGAGTGTTGGCAGCACTGGGTGGGCCATCATTTATTTCCTCTTCCCAATTACCCCTTGAACCGAGTGGCCTGCTAGGCCATTTCAGAAGGCATTTAAGAGTCAACTGCATTGCTGCAGGTCTAAAGTCACAGGCAGGCCAGTAAGGGAAGGACAGCACATTTCCCCACCCCAAACATTAGTGAACCAGATGGGTACTTTCTACAGTTAGATTTTCACTATTAAAACTTTTTTTAAAATTTCAAATATCAACTGCCATTGTGGATATCAAACCAATGCTCCCAGAACGTGGGTTATTAGTCTAAGTGACATTACCACTGCCTCTCCAAATTAGCCAGCTTATCCATAACAAGTTTTTTGTTAGAGTAATTATTTACAATCCCTTCCTACATTGTGACCCCTCCCCCATCAGATGTGAATCATTCTAGATGCCAAAAATAAAAATCATACCCCAAACAAAAACTCCTATTATAGCTGCACAGAATTAAAAAGCATGTCACCAAATCCTGAAATTTGAGCCTGACAGTTTATTTCACATTTATTATGTGCGTTCCTACGTGCTAAAAGTTAGACTATTGGATCAAAGTAACAAAGCCAAAAGAGGCAACATAACCACTTCTAATTTTTTAAAACAAGCAAACATTTACATTCTCACAGGCTCCTTAAACTTATGACAAAAACAGCATAAAATTGGAGGCAACTATAGTTCATCCTATATTTGCAATTAATACTAAATCTCTACAGAAACTGGCAGAGAATAAAATTTGAGAAGATAAAGAGCTTCTAAGTAAAAAGGAAAAAGATTAGCAACAAATATTGACCCATTCTAGACAGATAGAGGAGCTTATACTAGGAAGAGAAATAGCAGAAGCAAGAAAAAGGTGTCTGCTTTCAGAGATGAAGACGGAAGAAGTCTTTCTGAAATAAAGGGTCCTGTGTGTGGAAAGGAAAGACATTGGTATTAAAAATTTTAGTATTGGAGAAATTAACAGGAATGAAAATTGACAAATCCACAAAACCCTATGACTTTTACATGAGACAGCAAAGAAGAAATATCTAGAGATAGTGGATACATTGAATAGAATTTTGAAAGATGATCGCCAATCTGCAACAGTACTTGCAGATTAGAAAACTGCAAATGTAACCCCACTGTTTGAGAACAGTGTTGTATAGAACAAATTAAAAATATTTATGCAAATCACTGAAAAAGACTAAACTTTGCAAAAGGCAACAATTTTTTTTTTTTTTTTTAAAAACACATTTAAAAATTAGTCCAATTAACCACTTAAATTAACTGACTACATGACTGAAGTCACTCGGTGCACAGTGTCTCTTGATTGATGCACCCAAGTTTAAAAAACTCAATAGCTTCCTCATCAAGAAACTGGAAGTTAATATTTCTGGAGTTTTACACACGCCTGTGCAAACTCAGCTGGAAAAACAGCCCCTCAGCAACTATTGTAATGGATAATTTGATAAAAAGAAACAAAAAAAAACAGAATTCAGTAGTTATTGCAGGTGAGTAAACCTCTGATCTTATTTGGGGAGGTGGTGCTCTAGCGATCATATCAGTTCACAGTAAGCTAGAACCTTAGACAAGAGGGCATCAGCTTGAAACCCACCATGGTTGCTGGCTAAATTTGTAATTCAATTAAAATCTAGAAGCTAGTTTAAACAGCAACCATGTAACTATCCACTGTTGATTACTGTAAAAACCCATCTAGTTCCCTTTAGGGAAGTGAAGGCGACTTATCTACTGGCCTACATCTGACTCCACACAGCAATGTGGTTGACCCTTGAAACCACAGAAAACTGCACAGCAAGCCACATTTGTAACAAGCGATACCCACATCCCACGAAGTGATTAAGAATGTGGAGCAAAGAAAAATATCTTTTGTAGTTTGTAAAAATAACATCCCCAGTGATCTGTCCAATACTTAAACCAAGCAACATGTAAAGTTCTAAATCAATATATTAAGATGCTGCAGCGTATAAATTGACTGTCACTTGTGTTACAACAGACTACACTTTAGAAGTAGTCAAGTGACTACAAAAAAAAAAATCATGCTTTGCTACCTAGAGGTCATGAGCAGTTCCACAAGCTCCTTTCCTTGGCACAAATTTCAAAATGCCTATTATTTGAAGCCAAGGACATGGTTAAAATATTTCCTGAAAACTAAACAAGTTTCAGCTGCTTCAGAAAATCAGATAAACTAGAAGGGCTAAATTTAGAGGGAGGTGATGCAAGCAATAGTACAGGGAATGAGAGCAAATAAATAAAAGGAATAACCTAGCCATTAAACTGTACAGAACTGTGATAAAGTCAATAATAATGTTATTTAACTTAAACATCTTTCCAGTGTAGTACATCTTAATCTTGTTCAGCATCCAAATCTTGGAATGAATTGGAGTTTTGACAGAGGTCAGAGCTATTGAAGGAAAGGAAAATGTTTGGTGTGAAGAAACAAAACATGGCTTCTTGGGAGGCAACATTAGTGCTGGATGCCAATATATAAATTTAAGTGCCAGGAACAAATCTAAATCTGTAATTGGTTTAGGTTTTGCTAGCAGAAATTCAGAATGCATTAAAGCACTGAGTAAAAAGCATTAAGTAGAGGTTAGATTGATTTCAGACCAAATCCAGCCTCAGCTTACAACTATAAAATCCCCTAATAGACAATTGAGTCATAATTGTAGACTTTTTTGCCACTTGGCTCACTGCGTCTGACATCTTCACTGGAGTTGTTTACTTTTCAGTGTAAGCTTTTATAATCCTTTTTTCAATTTTATGCCAATGTCTTGAAGTGGTCTCTGCCTTAATAGCCACTAGTGGCAAAAGAATTCCATGTTTGAGGTTAATTGTTTGATTCTGCCTTCATTGTTTTCACTGTATTGCAAATTGATTCCCCTATTAGTTACGGTGGCCAGTGGAACAGCGTTTACTCGTCTTCCCAAATTTGGAAAACTTCAGCTGGATTTCTTCCTAACTCTGCTCCATACAGAAGTTTATTTAAACTTGGAAACACGAGTTACAAAATGTTTCAAAGGTACTAGAATTTTTTTTCTTGGATGTCACTTTCAGGCAAGAGATTGGAACAGATTGGAGGAGGCCAGCAAGCATAAATGCTCTTCCAATCTACCAAACAAGCGTTAATTGTAAACTTATAGTTTAAATTAAACAACACCTACTGTAGCATTAAAACACTTGCTGTATTTGTGCAAAGTCTGACTATAAATATCAGCTTCCTTGCAATCAATGAAAAAACTAACCTTATCAAATGTCTGCTCAAGGATTTTTCCATATTTCCTCAGCTTTGATCCAGAGTAGTCGTGTGTCAGATAAGAATAATGGTCTTAATGCTGTAGGCAATTAGTGGTCAAGCAAAGCATCAAGAACTCAAGCAGGAAAAGAGCCAAATGGTACTAAACATCTGATGCAAAAAAGAAAGCTGGCCATGGCTCCCAGACACTGCTCAAACCAGGGTATTACTTTACCTGACCTTTTTGTTTGAAGTCACTCAGGTGGGCATTCCTGGCTCAGCCAACATTTATTGCCCATTCCTAGTTGCCCTTGAAAAGGTGAAGGTGGTGGGGAGCTGCCTTGAACCACAACAGTCCATTCTGTATCAGTACACCCACAATTCCATTACATTTACAATCAGCATGGAGAGTGGCTTGGACAGGAATTTGCAGGTGGTGTTCACGAGTCTGTTCTCCTGGTCTTTCCAGTATGTTTTCTCCTTCCTTCACCCAGTTAGTTCGAGAGTCATTGACTGCAGAGTACCCACCTCTTTCACATTCCACCAATCGTACTAAAGGCTTCTTAAACCTGCTGTACCTCCTAGCCAAGCTGTTCCATCACAGCTATAAAACTGCCATCCACCTGCCCCACATGCAAAATAGTTCAGGTGCTTTCTAGACTGGTGAAATCTACCTGGTCAGTTGGTGCGCCAGTCTACTACTTGACCATCAGTAAAGTGCTAGAAGGGGTCACCAACCATGCTATTAAGCAGCACTTGCTGAGCAATAACTTGCTCATTACTGTTTGGGTTCTGTCAGAGCCACTTGTTCTTGACAGAGACACATACATGCACCATAGACATAGGCCATCCAGGCCCTCAAGCTGGCTCAGCCACTGATAGTGGCTAATCATACGCACAATATTCTGTTCCTGCTCTATCCTTGTATCCTTTTGATCCCTTAATCCTAAGAACTATTATGTGCATCTCTTAACTTTTCAATGTCCTGATTTTAATGGCTTCCTTTGACAATTCCACATGCTCACAAGAAAATCCTCATTTGTACTAAAGGCATACTCTTCTCTTTAGGCTGACTCAGTTCTGTACTCTCTGGTCACCAAGAACATTCTTGCTGCATTTACCCTGTTTTTTGATGCTGTTATAGGATCAAGTCTCAAACCTATCTCTTCCCCATACGTCAGCCCTGCCATCCCAGGAAACAAACTGGCAAAACAAAACCAAAAACTGTGGATGCTGGAAATCTAAAGTAAAAACAAAGCGCTGGAGAAACTCAGGTCTGGCAGCATCTGTTGACAGAAGGCAGTTAACATCCAACTTCTGGAGAAGTGTTACTGGACTCAATCCACCTATCATTTGTACTCCCTCAATAGCCAGAACATCCTCGCCTCATTACGGTCTTGGTCCAAACATGGACGAGTGAGGTGAGGAGAAGTGATGTCAAGGCTGCAATTGACGAAGTGTGGCATCAAGTAGTTCCAGCAAAACTGGAGTCAGCGAGGGTGGGAAAACTCTCCTGGTTGGAATAGTGGCTGGCATAAAGGAAGATGGCAGTGGTTGTCGTAGGTCAATCATCTCAACTCCAGGATGTCTCTGCAGAAATTGCTCAGGTTAATGTCCTAGGCCCAACAATCTTCAGCTGCTTCAATGATCTTCTGGCCACAAGGTCAAAAGGTAGAGGTATTCCGTACCATGTGTGACTACACAAATACTGAAATCAGTATTTGCCCAAAACACTGCACAAATGCAGCAAGACCTAGAAAATATCCAGTCTTTGGCAGAGGAGTGGCAAATGCTGTTAGTTATTTTGTGAAAAACATGTCTCCACCAGGACAGAATATAACCATCGTCCTTTGAAATTCACTGGCATTAGCGTCACTGAATCCCCTACTATTAACATCCAGGTGGTTGCTATTGACTAGTATCTATACTAGGCTAATCATAAATACAGACCCTGAGAGAAAGTGGGAATCCCAGTGTGCAACTCCTCTCCTGACTCCCCAAAGCATATGCCTTGTGGATGGTGGACAAGGGAGGAGCATTTCACCATACTGACGAATTCATGGTTTCTGTGCAAATGCAAATACACCCTACATTAAACAAACAGAAGACATTGTTGCAATGTGCCAGCATTACCTCAAGGAATTAACAAGAAAAGAAAGTACCCTTCAAAACTAGGTGTTATCCACCATCACCAGTGCAAAGAACAGATGAATCAATGTGGTGTCAGGTGATTTGCCAAGGCAGATTCAGAGAACTAAAGAGTTCACCGGTGGAGCAGAACAAAAAGCTGCCTGTAACAGTGAAGGTATTGGTTTTACAACTCTCTGGATATAGCACTGCTTACCTACTAACCAACCCTGCATCTGAGCAAGCAACAGCACTGCATATCTAAAACAAACCCCACCATTCAATAGAAGAAAAGGCTGAAATCATTCTTCATTTTAGGTCAAGCAACATTTGTAGAAAAATGACAATTTTTAGCCACTTTCCCTTCAGGCTAGAAGATATCACATATACGCATCTTTAAAAATAGAGAGAGTGCGCAAAATGGAAGTAAAAGACAATTAGGCTGATGAAAGCAATATATAATCCACATAAAAAGTCAAATGCAAAGCTGTATACAAAAGGAAAATATGGCAAAATAAACTGTCACACAATTAAAGAATAAAATCAGATGGTGAAAAGAGGGCTCATGCAGCATACTTGGCAATGCAAGTTATTTCAGGAGAAATAATTTGCTGAGCTAAATTCTGTCCTGTGTTCAAAAGGAAGAAACAATTAAGAGTTCCTACATACTGGAAAAAAAATTAATGTAGCTCTCATCCTCGCATTTGTTATATATTAACATTAGTGTTGAAAAGTTTTATTTCCTAGTTCTTTCTCAAGTTTAAATTAAAATACAAAGCCACAGCAGTAAAATAAGAGGGTCCGGCAATGAACTCACATACAGTAAACAAGAGACTTTAAAAGTTTTAAACCAAAAACAAAACAAAAAAAAGTCTCTCACAACCTCACCTCGGCTGATACGCTGCTTCTCTCCAGATAGGATGCCAGGAGTGTCAATGATGCTAATGCTTTCAAGCACTGGGTTTGGCAACTGGGCACACATAAATCTGGAAGACAAAAATAAGTGTGGGTGTTTCAGTTTCCATCAAGCATAAGGCTTGCTGATCTAATGCTGCTATTTCTGACTAAACCATTTTGCCATATTTTTCATTTGTACAGAAATATGAGACTTAAATCTTGCAAGAGTAAGTAGTGGTGACCATTTGGCCTATTCTATTGGTGCTGCCTTTTCAATTGGTCCTATACCCTTGACTTCCATGATCCTGCAAGCATTCCCTCTAGGTGATTATCCAATTTGCTTTTGCAGGCCTGGAATAAAATTTGTCTCCATCACACTGACAGCTAATGCATTCCAGATCCTAAACTCTTGCTTTGTAAGAAAAGTACTTCCCAGATGTCCAAATTAGCGATAGAAGCAATCATCTTAAAAACCTTTACATCAACCCTTCCAAATGGGAAGTTTCTCCTCATCTACCCTGTATGTTATTTTGAAGGCTTTGATTAAATCTCAAACTCTTCTTTTGAGGACAACAAGCCCAGCTTTGCTAATCTAGTCTTGTATCTGCAGCCTCTCATCCAAAATACGTGGCAAGTATCTTTCAACACTAATATCTTTGCATTCTTTCTGAAATGTACAACTCTGCACATTTCTGATATTATAGTGGAGGCCAAACCAGTGTTTTATATAGGCTCATCATAAGCTTTTTTTGTTTTGTACACTTCATTTTGGAGCTCAAGATCTCAATGGTCTTAATGGCTTCCTCAAACTGCCCTGCAGGTCTTCAATATTTATGCAAGTACATTCCCAGGTCCCTTTATTTGATTACCTTTAGAGTTGCATCTTCTATCACAGAATGCTTTCTAGTTTTCCCCATGCCCCCCTATTAAAACTGCAGGAATGGATCAAATGGACAAATCAAACCAAGATTAAATACAACAGAAATTACCGGAGAAACTCAGATCTGGCCGCATCCATGGGAAGAAAGCAGACTTGATATTGAGTCTGGTGACTCTTTACAAGAATTCAACAGTTATACTCGAAATGTTAACTCTTTCTTCCCACAGATGAGTTTCTCCAGCAGTGTGTTTTGGTTTCAGATCTCCAGCATCTGCAGTTTTGTTTTATCCAAGATTAGAGATCTGCGTTGAATTTCCATTTTATCTTTGCACTCAAATTTGGATGTCTCCACTCATTTACCATGCTAATGACTATACAAAAAAAAAAGAGTATGTGGGAACAGTACAATGACAAGCCACATTTTGGGCAAAATTATCAGTCATACAGTAAATTAGCAATTTGAAATTATACACCCCTCTCACAGCATTATTTCAGTTGGGGGAACATTGCTGAAGTAGGTAACTACAAGTCAAGGGTGATAGATGTTTGGAACTTTTCCCATAAACAGTGGATGATGGGTCAGTCAACTTAGATCCAAGACAGATAAAACCTCCTTTTTTTGAACAAAAGGACTAAGGGATATGGGCCAAAAGGCAAGTGTATGATGTTAGGCCACAGGTCAATCACGATCTCATTGAAAGGCCTACACCTGATCCCAAGTTCCCCAGCATGAAACACTGGTTTCTGCAGTGTCATCACGGCAATATATAGACACACAGTATAGGCCTCAAACCAGTGTGGAGCAAGGATGAACCTTTTGAAACACAATATCAGCTTCTCCTGGAGAGATCACTTCAAAAATAACTTAAATGATACAAAAATCATTGATACATGCTTAGAATTTAAGAATTTAACAACTAACACTTCTCTTCATCCAGCTCAAGGAAGGCACAAAAATGATGGGAGGACAAAGGAGACATCTTGAAAACTCCCTGAAGCATTTCCTCATTCTTAAGAAACGGACTTGGATGCAGCTTCTGGAAGGGACAACTCTTGCCAACTGGTGGTGTTCGCCACAAGGAAGTATGGAAAAAAAGGAACCTGAGGAAGTAATGCAAACGATCAAGGCCGTGGCCCACTTCTACTAGTGTTCCTAACATTGGTATGATGGGAAATAAGGGAAATGGTTGAAGACAGATGGAAGTAACCTCTGGGTCTGGTTTGTAATGCATGTGTCTTTACAGCAAATCACAAAAGAAAGATTGGTCTCGAGGGGGATGGTCCTTTAGTAATAAAGGAGTCAGTTAACATCAGTGTTGACATGGAGCAGATAGTAGCACAGTGATTTGTCATTAGACAAGATCTGTAGTTAAACAGCATTCTTAAAATTAGATTTTAAGAATCTGTAAAATCAAACAAGTTACTCAGTTGCCCGGAGAGAACTAAGAGTGGCCAGTGAAGCACAGGTTCAGTCATTTTACAGATAAAAGTTAACCAAGTAAAAAAAATTCCTTCACCTAACTTGCATTGGCAGTTGTGACAATTTAAATAGTGGGCTTCAATTCCTGAAAGGCCAGTTTTTCTTAAAAATAGAAGCTGGACTAACTCTTAATGGCACCAAATTCTTTGATTAAGTAGCAGCCTTGAAATTACTTCTTCCACGTTTTGGTTTTCTTTGGATGGAAACTTGTAATTCCACACTTTCACTTTTGATCACCCAAAGTCTTCGGCAATCAAGTGATACTAATATACACCCACTGAAATGAAGAAAAATTCCCCAGCGACAATCAAACCACTGTAGGGATTCCCAGCGCAACTTCAATGGAAACTTCACAAGTGGTTGTACATGTGGTTTTCCCCCAGAAACTCTTACCTGAATTTACATCAGGTTCTGGAAAAAAATTCCAAGTAAACTCTAATCTATGTTCAAGTTCCCCTCGACGTTATGCACAATCCCTTATTTATTGTCCTTTCATGGTCAGAATTTATTTCTGAGCAGCACTGAAAAGTGTCCTTACACTGGATGGACTGCAGCAGTCCACCACCACCTTCAAGGAGGATTGGGGAATAGGCAATAAACTAGTCTTGCCAGTGATACCCATGTCCCCAGAACAAAAAAGTAAAATCATGGAGGGGTAGCAATTCCAAATCCCAGCACAGAATTCTTATCTCCACGCAAATATTAATGTTTTGATTTCAAACTGATTTGACTAAGAAAGGTAAAAGAAAAAAAATTGCATCCACTTCCACCTATCATTCAAAGTCAAACCAATAATAAGAGATTAAAACTTGTAATGTAGTGACAGATTTATAATTAGCAACAGTATCTAAAAATAAAAAACCTTCTATCAGCAGTATGCATTTTGCTGTGGATATAAAGTTACATTTTAACAAAATCGATTAAAAATACAGGCAGGCACTAAAACTCAATGTCACCAAAAGGGAGAAGTTGAGAAAGATGACATGACTTCAAACTAAGTACAAGACTATAGTGTGGCAAGGCAAAGTGAAACAGGAACAAAAAATTAAAGAACAGTTCCAAAACAGGAATTTCTGAAGGTGAAATTCAGATAAACAGTAGGAAGAAACAAGAACACAGTTCAATTGAAATTAGGCAATTTAATTTTACATCTAATTCTTCATGCATGAAACATGCTGCATAGGAAGGGAGTGTATTACTTGCATGGTGCTTGCAGGACGTGGGAACCGAGTTGATGTCAACTCTAGCAACTACATCTGCCGGAAACATCCCTGTTCAGATCTCCAAACTGGGGGTTGATTTAAATTCAAGCAAGCATCACGGAAGCACAGAGAACAAATGTGAAGTTTTTTTGGATCTTAAACCACAAAAAAAATTGGAACATTGGTACAGAAAAAAAAAGTAATGTTCGCTTCAAACGTGGAGAGAAAGATTGAGTGAGCTGAAGAGAAATGAATGTGGCACTTATTCTTTCATTTCTCAGTTCTGGCTAAGCCAACATTTATTGTCCAATCCAACTGCCAAAGAGATATGATGATCTGCCAACTTAATACCTTCAATAGGCACTCTGTCCACTACAGTACCGTGGGATCATTGCATACTATCTGCAAAGTGAATGCAACAACTCACCAAGACTCCTTCAACAGAACCTTCCAAGCCCACAAAATTGACCAACTATAGGAAGATGGAAGAGAACACTACCAGCAAGTTCCCCTCAAAGCCACACAACATCCTGGCTTGGAAACATAAATCACGAGTTCTGCTGTTAGGGAGTTGCAGGATTTTAACCCAGCAACAAGCTAATATACCTATATCACAGTGAGCTGTAGCCAATCACCTTCAAGACGAATTAGGCATGGAATTAAATGCTACAGCCAGTGACACTTACAGGAGCAGCTTTAGAAAAAAAAAAGTGGTACACTGTAGTCAACTCATTACAATGAATTTCAGTCCCATCTAACTTTCCACCTTTTGATGCTTGAAAAGAAGAGTTGGATGGTTTTGAATCCAACTCAGACTGCAAAGCTATGAACATCTTCAGTATTTTTCAGATTGGTTTTCACAACTGGAGTCTCTTGTCTGAAGTGACGCTGCTTGTGAATTTTGACACTCTGGGCAGACACAAACATTGGCAAATATTTGCCAAGTGATTCGACAGTACAGTAGCTAAGGTTTGGCCACCCTTGAAACCTGTGGTCTACTCTCAACAGGATCTACACATTATGCAAGGCAATCACACCACCTCCACAAAGACACCCCAACATGTGACTGCGATTGTCAGGTCAGACTGTTCACCACACTGAACGAACGTGGTGTATGAATATTCGCAACAGGATTCAAGACAACCAACATAATTGTTGATTAGGCTGTACAGCTTGGGGCTTAGGCTTGTAGTTTTACAAGTCTACCCAAGAACCCTGCATTTCAAAAACAAAAAATTCATGCCACCTTCAATGACTTGTAGGCAGGTCTGCCTGTTTTAACAGCCTCCTTTGGGATTATATCCTTTAAGTTAATGTTACATGTTTTTCTGAAAAAAGTGTGCATTTCCTAATCAACCTGTTTAAAAATATGCTATTCCACATTTCTGGAGCAGGTGGGGCTTAAACTCAAGTTTCCTACCTCCCACGCCAAGAAACAAGTAAACATGGAAATATTGAGCTGCTGTTAAAAATTGAAGGGATAGATCAGGTTAGCTAAGACCACACCAGTTCAGTGATCCTAGGGTC